GCTTATTTGGTTAACAGTAATAATTATCTGAAATACACCAGTAAAAAAAATATATCATATAATATAACAATGTACTATTATACCAGTTGGTTAAAATAGTGAAAGTTCATCCATTATGTATTCGTTAAGCAACTCAATTTGATAAATATTATGCAAACTAATTAGGTCACCTGAATACTATGGTGGAAGACAAATCACATGGCACTAGGTCTTTTAAGATTGCGAATATTCAAATGCTATAAGCATAGACTTTCGTGACGACTAAAGCCATACACAAAGGTACAACACATCTCGGCGTCAGACTTATACCTTTCCTGTGCCATGGGTGGGACTTATATTATATACAGGAATAGACAATCTTAGAGTATGTCAATTGACACTTTCCGACTGACTGTCATCTGCCAGTTGAAAAAATCTAAAAAATGAATGGGATCGGGCAATACTCATTCACTACAAAACACACTCAATAAAAAAACTAACTAAAAGCTAATGGAATACGATGGGTGAACTTTCGCATAGAAAAGTGTGTTTAAAACGAACCTTGTCAACAAACTCTTTCTGTTCCTTGGAGGACTAAAGAGGTCATTATCACTATCTTTACATGAAAAATATGATTTATTTAAGAAATTGTACAATATTGATTGATCTTGGTTAACGCGGCTAACTTACATTTTTATAAGGCCATAAAACAAGTCAACAAATAATAAATTATACAGTGAGCCTTCCTATCCGAACCCAAATAAATATTATCTAACTAGCGATGTCTCGACTATTATTATATACACGGCTTTTATCAATCATTAGATTCTCATTAACAATAATGCCTGCTCTTGTACAATTAACAAGTACAACTTATTCGTTGGTAAACAAATATCTAATGATCGATAAATTCAAAATATTTCTACCGACATCAATAATTACAAAATCAGTTCAATCAATGCCAGACTATGCAACCGATGAATTTGTTTGGTCAATACTAAATTAAACATAACGAAGTTGATTGTAAAATAAATGTTCTTATCTAAACAAAATTATTGCTGTCATACATTATGTGTTACATTATCTATGGAAGCTTGATAAATAAAATGTCTCTGAACAATATCTATCACATATCATTACACATGTAGCACCACGCGGTTAATAGACCCATCTATGTAACTACACTTACCACTATTCACCTTGTAAAATATGGACATGTATAAAAATCAATACATCTGAAAAATAATTTAAGATTGGTATATAAAACGTTCTGTAGATATAAGTTTAAAATTAAATAAACTCTCTTAATGTTACACTATTGAAGTTGCGTTTGGCTTTAAATTAATAATATTTACTGCCTGTGAACGTTCTGGCCTACGTTACCTCTACCCGAAAATCAGTCTAGAATCAATCGTTGTTGTCTATGTGCAGAGACTTCGGCATTTCTACCAGTTGGACAAAGTGTAAAACGTCATCGTCATGTCAGTGCAAAATCCTTGAAAAATTTTAGCTTGGCATCTCGAAACTCGATGCTCGTTTCATACTTTGTCAAACATAGTAGAGATTCAATGTGGCAAGAATGAGTTCTATACGTCAGCAAATTGATGTTAAACTCGCACTAAAGCGCCACGGACAAGACGTAAGAAAACAAACTTGACATTACTACGCTACACGGTCTCAACTTATAGTAATATCACAATTATAACAACAATATTACAAAATACCAAATCACCTTTGATGATTTTATGTACTTGTATATTTCTCAAATCGACTAAAATCTGTCATTTCGGAGAAATATGCATCGCGAATGTTACCAACTCCTTTCTTAACCTTTACTGAAATCTCAATATTCTCTGCCAATATTATGTCAATCTTCCCGTCACTGGGTCAGTTATTATAAATAATAGATGTTATCGGGTTAGTTAAAGAGAGCATTGTAGGACCATGTTAAGATATAACAAAAGCATAATGAGGCAAAAGGTTTCTTCTTAGTAGGTAGTGTCATGTGTCAAAAATCCTTCCCGTCAAATAAGAATTGCGACTCAATAACCGACGGAGCTCGTTTTCCGACTGCAGATGTTTTCTCGTTAGTTAATTTTGGATCGCAAAGAAAACAACTATCTAAGTTAACATTTGCTTGTTTTTAAAGGTGGCGCAAGAGGTGTTAGGGTGTTTTAATAAATTTTTGAGGTTATCTAGAAACTGACATGTCTCATTTGGTGTCATTCCATTTGAAATTATTTATATAATATTTTAATTATCTGATGAGGACTTTCGCCATAACGTTTACATTGTTGATTAAATATATGTACTCAACAAATAATGCCCATTAGCTCACAGTCACTGCAGCAAAAAAGATGAATATTCTTCACCAAATCGCTAAAAATTAGAGTCTATAGACAATGCGGTCTACGTAATATATTAAATGGAATATAAATCTTGAATTTCGTAACGTAACAAAATATTTAGAGATCAAATATTTCGTTACAATTTAGTGAAATCCTAGACCTATAGTCCGCACATCTCTTAAAGTCTAATTTATCACATTTGACCTGGTAGCACATATTTACATTTGCTGTGCTCAAATATTCTTTAGAATTCGAATAAAAATAATACACGATAGTTCTTAATTGTTATACACGAATAAATTTATGTAAAGAAGAGACCACACCGATTAAATACTAAAAGAGCAAAAACAACTCGAAGGTAGCTAGAAGTTTCTGGTAAACAGTGGCCTGTTTCTAAATCACTTCGACATTTTAGAATTGCGTAAAATATCTGTATAAAAGTCTTAGTATTACGCGTAAGATTTCATACAAATATAGATGCTTTTTACGTTCCCGTTTAATGTTTTTGTCAATCTCATATTGGATGTACAGGTTACGCGAATAAGGACAGTGAAATGTCATCATAGTTATTGCAGTTTATAGTGATAGTGGCCCGAACCAATCTACATTATACCTACGAGAAGCCTTTGCCCACTAAGATAAGACACTAATTTACACCACAACATCAAGTAACTACCACTGATATAATTATAAAAACAGTCAACATCAATTTTGAATACTTAATAATTTATAAATGGGTAAATATCTACATATACACAATTTTATGTTTTCGATGACACGTTTCAAGGGGTGTTCCTGCGACTTTATCAAGCTAAATCGATCCTAACCCGAAATATATTGTTTCTCATAGTTTTCACAAATATTACTTTCGAGTATTTCCATAATAAAAATAAAATCAGAGTATTGCTTTTCGTTTACGCTATAGATTCGATTACTTAATTACTTAACATTACATCCCTCTGGCGTTTTCTACTTCATAAAAATATTGTGTTCGGAAATTCCATTTATTAAAATAAACCATGTAAATGAACTAGATTAACTAAACTATTATACTGACATTTATTGGATAATTATTATATTTGTATTTTACTAAACAATATTATGAAGGCCATTGTTGAGGTTAACGTCAAAACGCCTCTATAAACTATTCCTGATAATTATATTTAAAAAATACTAGCCCGCATTCTATAGATCTATATTAATTCTCTTATTAATGTAATTGACAGATTTTATACTAAGTTGGCTTGGTTTGTAAAATCGACGTAAAAACTTTCACATGCTTTATTGCGGAGTGCACCAGAAATAATGCAAATATTTACCGCCATGAGTCTAGTAATTGACTGCCTGTATCCCACTTGGACGACGTACGAAAACAAAAAGATAAGAAATAGACATGTATTTTGACAAAGCGTTTAGCATTTGTGAATTTAGACTTTCGGACTGTAAAGCCTGGCCTAACTTCAAATTTGGAAACACTGTTTTGAATTTAGAACATCAGTTTTACAATTAATATACGCAGCCAAATTGAATAATATAGGATAACTCTAAAACAATGAATAATAATTTCCGGTCTATATTGGAAACGTTTCTGGTAGAAAATAAATTAAAATTCTTATGCTATTAGGCACAATATAACATGAAAAACAACATACCTATCTCTATTGGCAGAAATTGACATAACATTTATTGTTTTTAAAGAAATATTCACGGATAGTAGTTTTGATAAAAGCATGATTTATACAAACGATTTATTTGTATAAATAATATCACAATATTGGCAGTAAGTGTAATCTTAAAATATAATTTATTTGCGGGCGAGTATTTTTAGTTACCGAACGAAGAAAATAATTTATTTAAAAGTAGTAGGCATTTCGGTTATAATTGTAACTACACGGTTAAATAAGATTATATAAATGATTGTCAGATGGTCAAAACTGCACTTGACAGTTGAGTTCAACGTATTTAAGCAATAAATAATTATTTTATCTACTTCATTGTTTACTTATATGAGGTACATATTTTGGCACAGAGAGATTTCTTAAATCTATATTTAATATGAAAACGTTAATATTAATTAACTTACATAAAACATTTCGATGTTCTAAAACTTGTTGACTGGTCTTAATCATATGAAATCACAGCTTTTGCATTCTCCTACTTACCTATTCGTCACGACTACATTTTGCTAATTCCCATAGATTTGTTTTCTATCAATATTTTTGATTTAATATTATATGGCATAAACGTATCTTACACGTTACACAAAATTGTAATAAATCCCTGGAATTTTCGATTACATCAAGATCCTTAGTATTGCTTCTAAACGGTGCGAAATATTTAAATACCATGAATTGAAATACGAACTAAAAGCCATATTATTGCGTTCCAGTTATGTAGTGTGACGTTAACAAAACATATAAAATATTATTCATTTGCCTTAGCAATAATTATAAATATTATCCCATTTATTATGTATAGAATAAATATCGAAAATTATCTATTAAACTATAAATAGAAGTCCGAAACGAAAACAGTCATGTAAAATCTAATTAGACCTGTTAAGATATATTTTTATGAAGGTTAAAAACGTTTTAAAAAATATTCCTATTTTCTGTTTGACTCGGTCGTTAAATATAGAGGTATGAAAAGATTGAATAAGGACGGCGCGATCGATCAACGTGCGTTGTGGACGTGTGTGGTGAGGTGCTTCGAGAGATAGTCGGCTCGCGCAAAGCACTTACCGCACGCTTCGCAGTGATAAGGGCGCTCACCCGTGTGTATGCGCAAGTGACGGGTCAAATCGCTCTTCCCACCAAAAGCCCTTCCACAAAATAGACACACAAACGGACGCTCCCCAGTGTGCTTTCGAACGTGCAATTTCAAGTTTTCTTTTGACCTGACGCATTTGCCACAAAAGGGGCACGCGAATCTTCTCTCCCTATCTCTTTGTCTGTCGTCGTTTTGCAAAAATCCGAGGATACCTGAATGTGCACTGGATGTCTCAATTTTGCTAACGTCACCTCTCGATTCGCTTTCAGAGCTGTCTGCCATAGAGCTGATGCTGGCGAACGAAACGGGAACCCGTTTTCTTTCTTCGGGGGCGGCATCCTCATCTCTCCTAATTTCACTTTCAGCACTGGAGTTTCGACAGTCAGTGGAGTCATCGACGGTAACGATTGAATCAGTGGCGCCATTAGAATCTACGGTGCTATCTTGTTCCGCATCACCTATAACTTCAATTGGCGGGCTTTTTGTGGATTCATTTCTGTTTCTCTTCTTGAGAGATAAATCCATTTCCCCACATTGTCCTATTAAGACTTCATTGGTGCTAGACACTGGTTCTTCTGGAGGGTCAGTGTTCTTAGTGTGAAGCCTTTCCAAGGTGTGATTGAGACGATGTTTTTTGAAAGATTTTAGGTATCTAAATTGCATGCCGCAGACATCACATGTAAATAACTTATCCGCCGGCAGTCTCGCTCGGTGATTTTGTTCACGATGCTTGACATAAGCGGATCTATATCGGTAACTTTGTCCACACTGTTCACAAACGAATGGCTTATCTTCACAAGCTGTTTGCGAAGCATGTTGAAGTGCAGCGTGTCTTTCCAATAACCAAGCTGAAGGGAAGGATGCGAGGCAAACGCCGCACCTACGCCGTTCAGAGTGAAGAAGATGGCGATTTTGATAAGTCATGCAATCATCGCTAAGATACCTTCTGATCCGGCAAGCCTGTAACGCGAGCAGTGGCGACCACAGCGGGATGGCGGTAGGGCTCCGCGGTGGGATCGGACTTGGGATGCCAGGCGCACCACATGACATGTCCAAACACATCTGAAATTCGACAATTAAACAATAAGTGAAGATACTTCTAAAGCGTTTAGGTGAATTAATAAAAATACGTACCCATTTTAAGGATTGGAGAAGGAAGCGGATATTCAAAATAAAAATATCACATAATGATTGTAGAGCTTTTATTTGTCAAAATTGTATTATTACAGCTATGATATGCTTATATTTGTTTCAAAGTTACAATGATCAACAGTGACAGGTCTATGTACTGTTAGAGAATTGACAAAACGTTACAATCCTTGACGGTTCCGATATACTGTTAACTTTCAACAAAACCATACTTCTCACAACATATTATGAACTATTAATTAAAAATGTTAAGGCAAAACAGATTTATCTAATCTAAAACATCAACATGATCGTAAAATGAAACAGTTTAAGGGGAAAATGTCTTAGATTTTTCTATCTGACAACAATAATTATTGTACGTTATAATAATCAAAATGACTTATAGTTATTTGCTCTTGTGCTGAAATATATAATGAACATGACTTTTAATAATTTGAATTAAATAAAACAATACTCAATAAGTTGCATGCAACTTCATTTTAGTTAAGCACTCATTCTGTACATAAACTGCGACTATATAAGACAAATTGTACAAAACTGGTGCGTGAATAGAAAAAACTGTTCCTAAAGTCAAAATCGGTTAAAATAGCTGTAGATTTTATGGCGAAAATTAAATTATAATTAATAGTCACTATACCTAAATAAATTAGCATAAACAAATTATCAATAAACAAATTGTACCAATATACAATAATTAATACAACTACAGGAACTTAGAAAAAAATTGCAATAAGTTCTATATTTAGGTATGCCACTTAAAGTATTTGTTAAACGATATTTTACCACAATAGTTTAGAAAAATATATAAAACATCTATTTCTCTAATTGGTCATCAAAATAAATCGGTAATCAAGTTAATTAATCTGAAAGATTGGAATGCGCTATCTACGGAGGTTTAATTCAAACACAAACGCCATTTCATAATTTTGACAATTGACATACATGCAAGTTGCATATCATAACGCAACTTACAATTTTCACCATAAAATTTGTACATTTCTTCTAAGATTTATACCTACACTATTCCGTGATTCGCAGCCTTTATATCAAAGTCTTAAATAGGCAAGAGGCACTCTAAATATAAAACCGTGGTCACAATTCATATAACGAATCTGATGTTCGATTTAACAACACGTTACTCCGTGCATAAGTTTTTACTTGTGTAACTCCATCATAATAAATATATAATAATATTTGTGCTAACTGCGTGTGAATTTTCTTATGTAGCTTTTGATAAATGTTAAAATTTGAATAACTGCACTTAGATGTGTCTATTTCTCACATACAACAAACTGCGTAACCTATTTACACAATAAATACATAGAATTATATAACAATATATTATTCAATAAATAGTGCCTCTGGCAGGAAACAAAATAGTATTTTAAACTGCATTCTATTATAATCTACCTCGATATTAACACGTCAAGTGTATTTTCTCATAACGCTAATATTTGTAAATTGTAAATATTCAATCTTTCTTAAAATAAGAAGAGGAACATTAATAAAGGTTTACATTATTATTTTGCATGGTAACATTCGACTCTGAAAAAAAATTACAGTGCAGCTTTTCAAATCGCAACATTATGTGTGTCTTAATTAATAAATATATACTTATATGTATTTACGTCATCGTCTTTTACCGTCTTTACACGAGTCAACATAGATGAATATACTAATAAAACGACATCATAGATTTTACTAACGAAAACGCAGACAGTGAATATAAATATCGATAGCAGAATAAATCTAAAGGGTAGCTTACTAAAAAGCAACTAACAAAGATCAGTAATAAACCCAAGTTAACTCGTGAAAGGGAAAAAAAACTCCGGAAATAAGAGCATCTACCAATATCTATATCTATAAATAAATAAGCATTCAACTGTGAATTTGAATAGCAATCCAAAAACAAAACACTATTTCATACAATTTTAGACTCTAAAATATTACATGAAATTATCGATACCTAAACATTGCTACGTAACGAAAGGTGAAAGTGTCAAAATTTACTTTAACTTTTGAATATCGAATGCAAAAACTTTAACAATCTAAGGCTTTCGTGCACAGTATATGCAAAGTAAATTTTAGCACTTATAATGTACCTATGTATGGAATGTTTATGTGGTCAACATGTAATGTCAACTAACGCCCTAGTCAACTACATAAACCAAATTTCTGAAACAATTTAACCACTGCGCAGGTATAACTATACTTAAATATCCTTACCATGTGCTGGAAGAATTTCCTACACTACTATTAGCAATATCTTCCATACTTTCAAATCTTTCCCATGAACGTAAAATATTATAAACCGAAACTTCATGGCCACGTAAAATAGTTTGTTCGAAATTCAAAAAAGTGCGTAGCACAGATTATAATCATATACTATCGTGGACACGTTGCTATTACACAATAGCCATGAAGTCTGGCATCGGCACGGTACTCTAGTTAATAACACACCAAATAAAAATTGCATTTCTAAAAAGATTAAGAGACTTCAAATTTCGGTTTAAGTACATTTTTATGAAAAGTATAAGATAACGGTTTCTGTAGGTACGTTCTTTCACTTACTCTCTAAATATTTGTTTCAGTTAACTGAATGAGATCCGAGTCACAGAATCAAAGTAGTTCCGACGATAAGTTAAAGGGGAGGTTCATAAAGCAGAAGGAAAACCTTTGCTATTATGAAGAATTGTTAAATTTCATGTACGCAACATATCTTAGGCATGTTTCAAGATGTGCGAGGTTTGTTAGGTTTCTGCGTCGCTCTTTGTATGTGTTAGCTTGCTGGCACCGAAAATAACTACTTCCTGAGATCACAATGAAACTCCCAGATATTATGTTTCCTACTTTAATATATATCACAGACCTTTACTTAAATAATCATAATACTTTCAATGTCCTAATCTACCCTAAAAGATTAAAATGCTTATATCCGAAAGGAAATAACGATATAATTTAAAAATTCAGTATCCTAATAATTTTTTATCGCTACTTTATAATCAGATGTAAATGATATGTTTATCTAAAATTTATTGTAGATCATACATAGGCATTCCTTATTAGATGCGTCCATTAACTAGAGTACCGGAAAATAATTTGATAAAAAAACACTCGCAAATTGTGTGCTGTATCACGACAACGTCTTAAATTTGTCTATATATAAATGATGAATAAAAGAGAAAAATATCGACCCACAGATTGCAAACCATAGACGTGATCTGATATGACAAATTTATGTAGATGACAGGCACACGCTTGTCACGTGACAGCCATATTTCTTATGTTACTTTGACGTAAGAGACGTCAAATTAGACTTTCTAGGGCATTACCCATTCATAAAACAACTGAATAAATATTACCTTCAAGATTTCGTCGTGATGAAGCAGATTTAACATATAAAATCAAAGCTTTATGAGTATTACAGTGAATTGATCGAATCAAATGAGGACTATTTTACAGGAGTAATCAACAACATTTACAGCTATGGTTTGTGCAAAAAAATAATTCTGGTATTTATATATTATGAAACGAATATAATCCGTAAAATATCCCTGTATTAGACTCTGTTTATTTCCTTGAACACAGCTATTGTGAAGAGTTTCAAATGCGTACGATTAGATGTATGAGTAAGTTTGCACTATATCCTATATACCACAAACCATTTACTAACTACGACATTTGAAACATTCTACAAAAATAATTATAAGACGTTTATCCTGTATGAAAATAGAATTAAGTTTATTGATGGAAGCTACGCCTTTTGACCTCCATGTAACTATTTAAAACACTTTCAGAAAACGCCAATATGTTAGTGTTGCCATGCCATAAATGTAGATTTTTATATCATTACAAAATTTTCAATGGCCGTAGTATAATATAATGGCCATAGTCAGTAATTAACAGTGAATTGCTAAATTTGTGAAAATGGAAAATTTTCATGAAAAACTACTATTTAGATATATTGCTAGGGGAAAAGAAGAAAAAACGCTTGATGGGATTACCGAATTTCCGTATTAATGGTTCTAAGATACGTCGTGAGCGTTATTGGGATTTTTTTCCAAGTACTTCTAAATTTCCTATTTCGTTTTGTAGTCTGAATAGATGTCATGGAGCAAAAGGCGTAGCATTCGGGTTGAACTGAAATGGTGCTTAAAGCTTTGATTCCCATGATCACACATCCAAAAATCTCCCCAAGTTAAACTACTGAAGCATATTCTCATAACCTATCAATAGTAATAAATTTCCTAAAAATCCGATTATATGTATCAAACTATATATATTTACATTTTATATGTCTTAGTATTGCTTTTGAATTACCTCTGGGGAGCGTGCGTCAAGACATAGAAATTTATAAACTTCAAATCCCTATTTAAACTATACTATAGTGAGTGCATTTTCATATCTCTAAGATTATTAAAGCACTCGCAATCAATCTTTAATTTGGTTTATTAAATTAAATCTGGTTAGTACTACTGACTGTAACAACGCAAGTCCCTATTATTTTCAAACAATCATTTACACGCATTATTTTTTTATAATCATAACAACAAAACTATTTCAAAATATAATCTTAAATTTTATGAAAAACAAGCAAAGAAATTGGCGAATATGATATATTTTCACTTTAAATTATTACTTTACTACCTAACTTTGGCTATGCCATCTAAGGGACTGTAAATCAGTTACCAGTTTCTATATAAGGCGTAAAGAAAGCACCTAATAGTCAAAATATCTATAAAGCGAACGGAAATCATTTAAGATTTTACGAGAAGAACGGAAAATTTGTGTTAATTTTATCTATAAGTGTAATATCAAATATTATTTATATCATTCAGATCACAGTTGCGGCGTTTAAATCACATTCTTATTTACTTACAATATATTGTCCTCGATATATCCAACTTTCACTATACCTCGAATATTAACTAAATTTGCACACTCGACGGTGTCATACTCATTGATGTGGGCTCTCCTCTTCCGTGTCGACGGGACTCGGCGACAGAAACTTTCTTGCGTACTTTGGATAATGAGTCTTTTCATGCGCCTTCAATATTGTGGACCGCGAGAACGTTTTTCCGCACAGAACGCATCGAAACGGACGCTCTCCTGAAAATCGAACACAGCTATAAAACTAGAATGAACGTCGTAAACAGACTAATATAAGTAGCAAACTTACCTGTGTGCACTCGACAGTGGTCCTTCATATGATGCCTTAATTTAAACGCCTTGCCACAAAATTCACATTTAAATGGCCGATCTCCTGTATGTACGGGTAGATGTGCTATAAGTGACGACACGTCGGGAAAGCTTTTGCCGCAAAACTTGCACAGGACCACGTTTCCAGGTTCCACGGGTCCTATATCCAGATCGATGGGTGTTTCTTCAGTCGGCATGCTCAAATACGTTGGTTCACTAAACTGTCCTCCTATCATGGGCAGCCCCAACGGCCGGCCCAAAATGGCGTCCCGGTATTTTAACGTGTCTAACGTGTGCGTAGTCAGTATGTGGCGGGTCAATTTGCTCTGGTGTGGGAAGGCAGCGCCGCAATGTATGCATGGATAAGCCCTCTCTCCCTCCTCAATTCTCCCCCTACCGGGCCCCTCATACTCCTGCAACGACAAAAAGAACATCAACTTCTTTGTCTCTTGTTTCGTTGTATGGACCAAACATGTGCAATATCTCTACCACTACATTCTAATTCGAGATGCAGTCTCTTTATTATTTCACTATCTAAATAAGAAGTTGACGCTCATTTTTGCCCAAAAATGTGCAGGAGTGAACCCAGTAGCCGGACGCGTAATGCCTTGTTGTAAGCAACGCGCGCGCGCACAACGTTCGGATTCGCAATAACGGTATGCAATAAATGGCCAAATTTAAATAAAAAAGTTGCCCAAAATATATAAATCCAAAACAAAACGTATGAATATAAAAATGATGGCCAACAAAATGAAGGTCAACTTCTTGACAGCAAGGCATAGTATTCCATGTTTAAATAGCGCAGCACAGTAAGCATGCAATTAATACAAAAATAATTAACACATATCTACTTATTCACAGTAATAAGCCGAAGAAATGATATGTAAAGTTTAATGATTTTCGTAAATTTTAAAGGTTGCCCAAAATTGCTTCAAGTAAAATCTGATTATTCAATAAACAAATTCATGTTAGCCTGCCTCAAAATATGTGTGTAAATTAAAAGGCCACCACAAACCTCATTTAGCCAGAGTTTAAAACCTTTTTAGCCATAAACATTAATTTTTTGTTTGCCTCTGATGGAACTTTGACAAATCTCAGGATAAACTATTTAAAAAATATTAACACTTAATTTGTATAAAAAAGTATTTGAGACTTTGTGTCAAAGACTAATCAAGCATGAGAACTCTTTAATTTTAGAATTTGGGCTTTGCTCAGCTATCATGCAGTGATGCTACAAACATCAACTAAAATTATGGTTTAGAAAATATTTGCTGCAGCTTTTATGGAATTAAAAAGTAAAAGGAAAATAAATAGGGAAGAAAAGAAGCCAATAGCCTATATTTTTACACAACTATATACAAATTACTACCACAACCATAAAAACTCAAATCTTAATCATCATATGACAACCATAAAGGAGTTGGAGGTTTGACATATTATGTGTTCATTATGATGTTTAAGATTAGAAAAGAATAGCAAAAAAACCTACCGATTCATGCTGCAGTCGATAATCGGAAGCTGAAGGTTCTCCACCACCCTTGTCTTCATTACTTCGGTCCCAATCTATTTCTTTCTTCAATGACTGGAATTTATTTAACTGTAATTAATATTAATTCTACAACGTTTTTAAAAGTACTGTGCTGACATATCTTTGTTGAATGACTGCAACATAATTATATTTTTATTTTTCATGATTTTTAAGATGACATTAAAAAATATTTTGAAAATTGTTTGTTTAATATAATGTACAACTTGTTCTAATATTGTGCAATAAAGTAAATAATAATGTTCATAATAGTAAAAAGTTATGTATTTAAAATTTACTTTAAGTTTTGACATATGCCATAACAGTAAATTAATGAACTATACAAATATACTTCTGAATATATTCAAATATTTTTTACAAATTGAATTTGAACTAAATTAAATATTTTGATTGTACTTATACCACAATTATAATACCATAATCACATTCATTTCATGAAAAATATAAAAATAAAACTCATATGAAGAGTTGTAAGGCCTTTGTGGTTTGAATATTTATTAAATTAAGATTTTTCTCACTAATGGTACTTGTTGAACAGGTGGCAGCCCTGATGGTCCAGCAATGGGCTCATGTCTTGGGCTTGGCAAGGATGTGTGAGAATGGAGTGGCAGCCCTGGATGTGACAAAGTATTTAGGACACTCAATCTCTGTTCAACGGGTGAATATCTTGAAGCCAGGCTGCTGTGACTATTTATCGTCATGTTAATACCTGAAAAATAATTGTTTAATAAAGGTGAATTAGCAAATCATAAATCAATAATGAATGTAAATAAGTCAGGTATGTATGATAACAACACTTTAATGTTTTGCCACTTTCTTTATAGGATTGTAGTAGAGAAATTAATTTAAGTAGTCTGTACCTATAGCAATTTCAGTAACTTATGTAGTATCACTTCTCACTACAATGTTTAATTATTTGGATATTAAGTTACTTAGACGCTTGTGGTCCTCCTATTACGGGACATTTAAAATACTTACATTTAGGTGTAATATTGTTTAGGTTAATATTTCTTTTTCACTTTGATTAATTTTAAAACATTTAGATTAGACAGCGATTTGTTTTTTGGCCTCTCTGTATGAGGCTGTATAGAATTTCCAAACTCTAACCAGAACAAAAAATTCATTATCCTGATATTTAATATATTTATTTGTCCTTTTATGGTATTCATACTAATTTTTACTATACTCAGTAAAATCACTAAAAAGAATAAAATACTGATACGTCATACGATCAACATAGGACTCAAGGTCAATTATTACGAAATCGGTTGACAGCTTGACACTTTTAGTGATACTGACACTGACACATTTCAATGGTATTCTAACGTTTGATTGTTTTTATATTATGTATTGTGTTAAAATGTCATTATCTACCTGCATAAATAAATAAAAAAGACAAGAAATTTGGAATCAGCCAAACATTCGATGGTTGGCTGGTCAAAATATTGCATATTTATACAAATTACTTACCTATATAAACGGAAACTAATATATATGTAATTTATAGAGTTTTTTTTAACTATTTCGAAGTATTAGTATTTATCATAATAATATGTGCGCGGTAGCATGTTGCGGTTGACAGTTGCTTAATTTTTCGTTTCACTCTTGAAAGTTGCCGCGATTTACAAGTTATGACTTAGTATTTCAGCTGTACCACCTTCGTAATATATTAAATCAATAATAACTGTAGTAACTAAAATTTAACCCAGCCAGAATGTTCTAGTCTACAAATAAAATCAAATTGAAAGAAAAATTAAGCAACTGTCACCCGCACCGTGCTACAGCGCACATAATTATTATAAAGGATAGGAGATCAAATTGTCTTACCAATACTTTCACTTGCTCCGTTTGATCGTATTGAAACCGAGTCGTCTTCTGGTGACAACGATCTCATAGGTTCGTCAGGGGGTTCATCTTTAAGTATCGGGGGATGCGTAGGCGTCAATGTTTCAACGGATGATTCCGTTCTAAATCTACGCACAGATAGCAGAGGAGATATTCTAGGAGGTGAGGTCTCAGGTCCCTCTCGGGCATCGCGTAAATCTCGCAAATCACGAGACTCCCTTCCGTCTCGTACTTCTCTATGGTCCCGGGTCTCTCTTGATTCCCGGGGTTCTCTATCTCTGATTAATTCGCGGGACTCTCGTTCCTTTTCCGCCTTCGATTCCCGCAAATCTCTAGGTTCACGTATGTCTCTACTTTCTCGTATTTCTTTTTCTCTATCTCGGGGTTCTATTATATCATGTCTCTCATCTTTATCGCGAGATTCTCTTTCATGCAATCTGTCTTGCGACTCAGTACATTCACTAGTGTTTTGTGCTGCAGATTCTTCCATCGGTTCTGAAACATTCCTAGCCTCCACACCCGCGGCACTTAATGTAGTCATCTCAGCTAATCCTTTTACCTGAAATTATACAATAGTTTGCTTCAAACTCTTATACTTATATATATTTAACTACATTCTACTACATTTACTTTAGACAAATAACAATATCAACAAATATAACGAAATTATCTTGAGTAAAATAATAAAGCAGTAGAAGAGTAGAAACATACCTGAAGGCTCTCAGCAGTTTTGAGGAGAGCAGGGAGTTGGCAATACTGGACGTTGACCTCGCCCTTATACATGAAGTCGACGAGTGTTCGGAGTTCCTCCAAACCTACGTCCTTAAGGATCACTATAGGATGGCGGGATGGATGATCCACGAATAGCGAACGGAAATACGATGAACAAGCAGACAGTACAACCTGGAACATTCAAAAATGTTTTTATATATTTTATTACAACTTTTCCAAAATTGTCCTATTTTTGTGATATTTTGTATAGTTTGCATGTTTCGTAAGCTCCTCAATGTTCTCCACAAAATACTTATGTCCATCAACATAATGTAAACAGATTTGTTAGATTTGTTTGTTACAATACATGATTTTTTTCACATATAAAACTGATTTAGTACGCTCAATACTCTAATAATTATATATTCCTAACATACACATGTATCTATTATACCTATTTGAAGATCTCAGTATTACGTCAGCATTCTGCAACGCAGCATGAAGGACACCCTGTGCATTACGTGTATCTTCATGTCATAGTAACTGCCAATTGTGTGATATTTTAGGATTAAATAATTCAGCCAAGTAAATGCTGCTAAATCACGACAAGTTTTAGCAGGCACTTGAAATAATGAAAGTGGTTCATTTAATTTCTAGCTTCAATCTGTCTGACAGATTAATTTTTTATTTAATAATACCGTCCGGTCGTGTATCAATGTCCAGAAACTAAAAGTTTATTCGGCCACCGGCCACGTTAGATAAATCCATTTTAGATAAATCTCCAAGAAACTCATTTTAAAGTACCTAGATCCCTTCCTTATCAAAGTTTCTTCAACTTGCCAGCAAACTGACCCATATTAGAGTAGGCTATCAACCATGCTACTAACCTTATGAGCCCGTATGGAGGCACCCTCTGAGCACGCGAGTGTGACGTCTACTAGGCTTTCGTCTTGCAACAACTGGCTGAATACTCCCAGCAGGTTGCTCTGATGATTGTTCCACCTCAGGCAATAGTGCTCACTTCCCATGTCTGAGCTAGCTCCCGCCGCTGAAATTGAGAATGTTTTCTTAGTTTTCGTGACTTTTGCCAAATATTGTTACGATTTTGCAGAATCAGCTTTCTAACCGAAATAGTAATTCCTCGTGTGCCATTGTTTTCCGTTATATCATGCTACTTGTTAAATTAAAACTAGAGACTTCGTTACTTATCCTATCGTTATTACCTGTCAGTCACGGCGCTTAGTAAATAATGTATACAATTTAATTGTTTAACGTCGTACGAGTAAAAGTATGTATTTATCTTTTTTAATACAAGTCCATTGGCCGAAATGTTTTAGAAAATTATTATAACTTAAAGTTGCTTGAGCAAGCGACTCACAACCCTTAGATCAAATCGCGGCTTTTGACCAATGGACTATTCTTTCTAAGTGTCCAATTAAGAGTTCCTCTTAAAGCAAAGGTACAAAAACATCTTTCAGTAAAATAATCGATTATTTCAGCTACAGAAGGCTGACCACCTACAGATATCACAGACCAAGAGACCCTTACCCTATGCCATACCCCTACGGTTGTAGTCCCTCTTGGGTTTTTTTATGAATGCTTTTTTACATCTGCTCCCACCATTACAAGGTTCTTTGTAGCATAAGTAAAGGTAATAATATTTATTTTGTAACCAACCCATTTATTAAGATACAAGCGTAAAACTTAGTAATCAAAAGGGGCATCGTGACTAAATAATCTCTCGGTTGATAACATTTTTTATTACTTTGTAACATAATACAACAAATTATAGCATAATGATATACGTACTTCTATTTTTTTATGGATGTTAATTTAAACACAGTAAAGATACTGAAATCTTAATGAAACTGATGGAGCCTTTTCAAACCTAATATCGGTTAGGTCGGATATAGTGTTAATCATTTTCAGGAGTTTGTTATGCTTGGAGCTTATCTATCCTGACCACTGTTCATTCATCTTCATCCTTTGCTGAAAAGAACTTAAAACATCGTATATAAATATACTTTATTGATTTGTACTCACATAAACCAAAGAGAATATTATGCTTGGAGCCTTTTTACGAATACATTACACTTCAAATAATTACTTAATTTATCAAGGTTATTTATTTATTTAAAATACAATTATTATAGCAAAATTGAATCAAATTCAACTATTTAAACGCAAACCAAATATTTAAACGTAAATTACATTTTTAAATAGTTACGCCATACATTGCACCGTACACTGAATTCAATTGTTATCAGCTCGGGCCTATTTCCTGCCTGAGTAACGACTTGGATTGATAATAATCATACGTTGGCATTAGTCAGGTAAATAAACCGCCTCCACACTTACGCCTTTTAGTTTGAATTTAAATCGAGAGGGGCATGGTTCGTCTTTAAAGAGTTATTTCAGACATAGTAATTACATGTTACGCTGCACTTGTACGTCAACAAACCTAAGTAATTCTTAATTAATATGAAAAATGTGATAACGTGTACCTAAGAAAAGGAAAATCTACAATGTTTACCGCTGTTTGAGTTTATGAATAAAAAATTGATTAAAAGTAATAACCGTATATCAAATAACGTTCACGCACAATCCATCCAAGTCTACTTTTTCTACGGACTTTAAATGAATATATATTTTATATTAAGTGGTCTCATTGATATTCAAAAAATGATTATCCATCCATGGCCAGACTGCAATCGACTTGCTTATATTTGAAATAAACTATTAATATCTGACTAAACTACCTTTTTCTATACAGGTATTGATTGAGGTACTTTGAAAATAATATGCCATTTTCGCAAACGATATAAATATAGTCGCGACGAGTACTATTTAATATGTGCGAATACGCGTGCGGCCGCGACGCAGTCAAGATCAAGGGCACGCGATTGCGCAAGAGTTGGCTGTCGCACCGCACTGCAACCCAGTGTGATGTCATCGGGCGTCTGCTTCCCCCCGCTCCTCATCTATTATGCTCGTTTCTGAAAGGCCGCGAACGCGGAACATTCTATTTTTATTTTTTGAACATATAGGCATATGCCTATTTTGTATGGCTTTGTCTCATGTTTAGCTAAAATTTTTTGATCCAATGGATTTTTTGAATAGACTCTTACTAATTGAGTACAGTAGACACGTAAGAAAATGTTTTAATTTTTGAATCAAGAAAATAATCATTATTTTGTTACTACAGTAAGAACAGATCGTGTCTATTAGATGATACAAAAAAAATTATCCACTTGAAGAATTTTTTTAAAATTATATGTTATTTTAACTACTACTAGGAATATATACATATCATAATATGTATGTAAAGACGTAACTACGTCGAAGTAATATTTTTTAAGTATGATAATGACAATAACAATTTAATTTTTCAGTGCAAAATGTACAATTTGTAGTTTTATCAAGTTGTGCAAAAAATAAGACCTTCCTATCAAGGATGTCTGAAGTTTAGTTATTTAGGTACGTAGATTGATTTTGACATGATGTCTTTATGTACCTACCTATACATCTATTAACATTTATTAAGCTATATGTAATAAAAATAGTAACGGGAAATAATATTGTGATTGTAGTCGTAATGTATAATCAGCATGAACCGGATTCAAGATAAGATTTTGCACTTTTAAGTTTCTTTGAAAAGCAACGAATATTACTTCTTTTACGGAACTTTTACTTAAAGAGCCTTGATCTACCCGAGGGCGTTCTGGAATATTTAAATGGAAATCAAACGTATTAAATAAATTTATTCTTTTTTGGCAAATAAAATAATTGGTGAACTCACAAAATATGGCCACAATAAAGAATTGCGAACGTTAGTTTATACGCAAAAACTATTGTAATTCAACTAACCAGTTTGTTGTTGGAATACACAACATACAGGTGTAACTACTGTACGATAATTTCAAATTTAGAATTCATATTTAGCGGAAAGAGGAAAATAGCCTAGGCAGAGTGCGATGGTGATTACTAAAGAACATGGTTACTAAACTAGATGTCTGTATGACCTTCGTCACACAATAGTGACGCTAACGTGCATTATATGTGTAAGGGTGTGGACATAATAAACCTAACAGGATATTTAAATAAGACGCCACATTAAAAAGCTTTATGGTTATTTAAGTTACAGGCGGCCTGTCCCGGCATCGTACTAGACATTTCGTTTTTTTTTTGTATATTTGAGATATACACGATTACATATAATTCTAAATATGAAATATTTTTTTAAAAACATAAATACAAATTTTCTTTTATAAAATATTCGTCTATGACAGACTAAAATGACAATTGACAGATGTCAATTAGAGCATAAAGCTGATTTATCCCTAAATTATTGAACCAGCTGATACTTTCAATAAATATTAGAATAAATTAATTTGAATCTACAAGCTAATTTAAAAAAAGTTAATACTTATGATAATTATACTCCACCGTAAATCTTAGAAGTCTTTAGTTATACGATATTAAGTCCGCAATCCGAAATTCTAAATTCAAATATACCGGTTATAAACACTTTAATAATTTATGTATTAAAATAACTATTACGAAGAGCAAACGCAAATTCCACTTCCGCAAGGTCATTGTAGCATTGCTTCAATCTTCGGTGATTGCAGTTTGCATATCGCTTTGAGCTAATCATCTTAGGGACTTTCCACACATGAGATGGATGGCTTTTGTTAAAGGTCATTGTCAGCTACCGACATTTTAATTAGAGTTATAAATAACGTATTACACAAACTAATATTTAAAAACAAATAAAAAGATGTACTAATGATATATCTTATAATAATTCTACCTCATAAATTCTCTTTCAACCCTCATTCTACACCTATTCCTCAACACATTCGTATAATCTGTGGTTTAATATTTAAAGAAATGTGCTACATTTGTCGACTACTCGGGAAATGCGTTTTCACTCAAACACAATTATATATTGCAGAATAACACACCGAATTAAATGTGCTACAAAAGCCGTAGGCCGTAGCACCCTTCGAAAATTGCAATTCAGTGCACAAATGCAAAAGTATGAACATCGCCTAACCTTACACGCGTAATACCGTGCACACTGCGTGGGGATCAAGGTCGTGCGAAATAACACACACCACATATTCGCAATGTATATCTTTGAACAGTTGCCTACCGATTGGCTATCTACGTAACTCGTTAGATGGACTTCCGGCTGCGCCTAAACGCTTCACTTTTCATGATTTTAAATTAAAAAGGTTTTAATACATTGTTTTTAATTTTACTTGTACCCCCGTTTGTTGTTATACCATGATTGGGAAAAAAACAGGAGTATTTTTGTTACATTCCACAGACTAGTGTGTTGCGAATTTATTTTAAATAAATTACCAGTGTTACGAAATTATTTAAACAAAAATGACCACAGGTTTCTAGTCCGTCTATTGTACAATCTAATTTTAATTAACTGTACGTTATTGTGTGCTATAAACTGTATATAGCCTTTTCGTTTTATTGCACTTACGAAATATTTTTTTTTTATATTTACCACGATTTGTTTAAAAGAGATTTAAATTACTAGATCCCCAAGTGCGTCCATTACACAATGTGCTTTTTATTATCTGTACTTTATTGTATGCAATAAAGTATATAAATAAGTAAATAAGCATGCTGAGTATCTCCTTTGTAAATGCCACTAATTTATGTCGGACATAAATTTGTACATAAATAAACGTTGCTAGTTACAATGTCATACAACCGAATAGAAAATTCGTAGACTTGTGAGACTAATTAAAAATACCGTGTAAATTTTATCAGTCTGCGAAATTTTAAATAATTAATGCATTTACGAAATGTCTACTAGATAAGTGTTCTCTGGGAATGAAATTTTAACCGGTTTTTTATATTTTTGACCTTTTAAATTTACATTTATATACTAATGTTATGAAGAGGAGTTTTTAAACTTAAAAAAACTCAACAAACTCACTATAAAAATATAGTGTTTTAAAATAGGCGGACTGTCGTAATTAACAATTAATCATACAAATACGCATCACGTCTTGTTATTCTTTACAGATTTGCAATTGATAAGCCTAATAAGTGTAGAAACTAGTACTTATAAACAGTACGTGGTATGGGTTATTTAATGTATTATTATTAAGGATATTGATTAAATCTTGAGTGGTACTCAAATATTACCAAACCAGTTACAATACAATACAGAACCACGTATTATGACTATTTTTTGGAATCCTTATTAATAAATGATTTCAATGGATGTGCATAAATAGAAAAAGTTTGAAATAGATTAATAAATAGATTAAAGATAAATTCTGATCAGTATTTATTTCTATGTAAATCCGTCAACAGGTATAACGCAAATTCGTATATTTACATAACTGCATATCTCGAGTGCTTTTCAGCAATCTTGATGTCTGACCACCCCACAAAGTCAACACTTTACTTCGATATTGTGATTAGAATAGCCATTAGAATTATGCAAAAGCGATTTATTGTTCGTTTGCCCTTATCGTAGGAATACTACTGGATCAAATTAGAAGCACTTTTTGTGTAGTATTTCCATTTATGGAGGATGACTTTAGACTATATACCATCACAAAACGATTAAGAGGAGCAGAGTATCAATGAAAAATGATGATAAAATGGGAATTATGCAATTTTTCCTTATTAAGAACTTCCTTGAGAACGGTGCGTAAACGTTTAAAGTTACGCTCAAATAATGTATAATATCCTAAAGGACTCCTGTGAACCTATTTTTACGGTTTTTTAGTAATGATATTTTTATGATGCTCTTTTTATAAACATTATATTAATCCAATACAAATAAAAACGTTATATATCATAAATTTTGAACATATTGCTCGCGACATTATTAACTTAAAGATGTATTCTAATATAAATGTGCAACAAAACAATTATCAAGTATTGGGCATTTATGTCCAAGACAACCGCTAATTTGCATTATTATTATATACAGTGTAAACTCTATATAACGACACTCAAGGGTCTGTGCATATTTTGACGTTAGAGATAAATAGGAAGTAGAAAAATCTAGAAAAAGAAAAAGTTTATTTCAGACTAGTGTTAGTAATTACATAAAAAACAATTCTTATTTGACCGCTATTGCAAAGTAATGGATTTCTTAGAAAGTTCGGTACGTATGATGCCGACATTCGAATTTATTACGGGCTAGGACAATAAAGCAACATAGGAACGTACACAGTTCCGCAGTTTTAACTAATATCGGCAACTTAAAAAGTACACTTTATTATTTAATTGTCGTTATAGAGAGTAGGTGTAATGCTATGTAGAGTATATCATTATATGGAAGACAAGCTAAACCAACCAAAGCCGAGTGATTTCGACGCTCTAGGAAGTTCGTCGTTAAATAGAGAGTTACATGGAGTTTTCACTGTATTTAAGATATTGTGTCCTCTTGTATTTCGATTATGACCGGTTCCCATATTTCGGAGAGTTTGTTTAAATATCTAGAACTCGCGTGCATTATAGACAAATTAATTTATTTCTAGATACATTTTTTTATATAAAAGAAATTGTATTTTTGAGTAAATGTATTTGTGGTTTTAAGTATACACGCGCGGGTGGAGCGTTGCGCCTACGCTGAATTTTTGCACGAAAGCTATCGCCGACATCGGGATAGCAGCAATAAATTCACTATTATTGTTTGGAAAACCATATGAAATCTGGGCGTGACAACTTGCAATGCTCGATTTATGCACGTTACTTTAATAAATGGGCCTGTAAAATTGATTATCTTACATTATGCGGATCGCGTCAATAAATTGACGTCACTACTATTGTATACTTTTACACTGTTTAACAAATATTTATTGTACTATTGTATCAAAGTATTTAATAAGTTAGTAAATAATTGACTCATGTAAGTTGCGAATTAAAATTTAATTTACTACACTATTTACAACACGTGATGACAAAAATAATAATGTTTCAATCTATCTTTAATATTTCAATACCGCCGCCGAATAACCGCGTTATTCCGTTCGCGAAATCATATGACTTTATTTTCTTTGGAATCCAATTCCAATCAATGATATCCTAAGAATCGATAACGCTACTCTGTTAAAGTGCAAGAGTAATATCTCAACTAGTTAGAATATAAAAAATCAAGTACACCAAAAATAACAAGAGCCTCATGGGTATTTCCAAAAACCAATAACAAAAAGTTCAATTGCTAAGATGAGGTCGTCGTCCCGTTTGTTCTCTTACAAACTAGTAGTGTACGTACGTCATATGATATTATCTACCAAATCTCTGTTATACTTGACGTCACAAAGATGACATTTATTTTCCAATTGAAAAATACACGACAAGGTTAATATCTTATAAATCACTTTCGGAAAAGAATAACTTAACAGTGCCGCTACAACCTTTTATAGTCTGAGATTTCTATATTTGTTTCATGATCATTTGTTTTTTCTAGTAGGCGAGTAGATGATTCGACATGTCATGCCGGTTTCCTCACGATATTTTCCTTTTCCGAGCGAGTGTTAAATGCGCACATCCATGGTCCATTGGAGCACAGTCGGGGATCGAAATTGCGGGTGAAATCAAATAGACTACGAGAAATATTTTATGTACATTTTTTAATATATTTTCAAACTCATTTAAAACAGAGACTAAATCTAGCATTATGTATATATTTACGATCCAATACGACTTAGGGTCCTTCGAGAAAACAACGTACCAACTCTTAAAGGTCGGCAAAGCATTCGCGAGTCCTCTGACATTGAGGGCACTCATATCATTTAATATCAGGAGAGCCTACTACCGTTTACCCCTGTTCTATAACAAATATAAATGGCGTTAGATCTAAGGTAAGATACTAGAAATGTTGGTAGACAATTCTATGTCTAATAAGTGTTTTTGGTAATCCCTTTATAAAGGGATTACATTTAGATTACGTGTGATTGAATTTTGGATACTATTGAATCCAATTTTTCACAAACATGATTGTGCAAGAGGTGAATCTAAATAGCCTATATTTAATATAAAATCAAACGCCTCATCTGTTTTATTAGATAAATAATTGGAAACTTGCGTTATTATACATGATACGCAAAAAGTTGTTCGTTAAAGAAATATAATATAACTATAAAATAAGGACATAAGTATTTCTAAAGTCCCCTAGGCCAGTTTTTGTAGGCAAAAAATTTCCCAAGGTCAGACAAAGTCAGACACAAAAAAAGCTTCTTGTTTACCGAGTAATTTTTGGGTTTAATTTATCTCAAATCTTTGAGCCGATGCATAATATGTCGGTATAGCAGTCGTGACTCGTGACACACAAAAGATGTTTTTACACAGATAGCTAAACGTCGTCGTGGAAACCAGACGCGTATTTTAATAGTTTTAAAATGGCTCTGCCGTATTGCATACAAACTTATAGTCTAAGTTAAATCTTTAGAACACAGCGAAGGGTTGTGTAATGTGAATAATATATCTCGGTTTTTTTTCGTTAAACATTTAATATATGCTTGCGTTACCAAAGATAATAATTTTTAGTCGTAAACTATTGTTCTTAATCGCATCTGGCTTAGAAATTACTTATAACAACGCCTACAGCAATAAGTGTTATACACGTGTTTTTTAACAACTTTGTAAATCTTTTAATAATCAATTATTATATTATTATGCAAGATTGCTGCTTGATTGCTTTTAACGGCGAAGGTATATGGCAATACTTTGTTTTTACAGTTACTATTACACTTATAATGATTATTATTCCGGAATTTACATAGCAGCAACTATCTGAGCAGTACATTCTCGAACGGAATCATACCGAAGATTCTGTTCGAGAATGCAAGCTATAGCTATCGTATTTCAAAATCCTATACGTTTTTGACATACAAGTCGTAGTTAGTGCTAGTTCTCGACTTATTTTACCTAATTAGGCGTACGAATTTTATACAGGTACCATGTTTTAATCCCAGTGCACGAATAGATTCGCTATATGGGCATTTTTTTTATGTAATAGGAGGCAAACGGGCAGGAGGCTCAGCTGATGTTAAGTGATACCGCCCATGGACACTCACATTGCCAGAAGGCTCGCAAGTGAGTTGCCGGCCTTTAATTTAAATTTAAAAATTGTGTTCGTTGAACGACGTCATGGAGGAAACTGGAGTATCTTAGAAACAAAAATAGACGATGTGTTGGGCACAGTTTACTTTACCTATAAAAGAAAAACAATCAAAAGATACATACACAAATATCACCACATAAGGGGTTGTAGCGCCACTGGATCACTATTTTTGTATGTTCGGGACACCTGTTATAATCCTTCCTGATGTGAATGAGAAAATATTTCTTACCCTTTCACATTTAAACTGTTTTAAATGCCATTACACATAATGATAACACTATACAAAAATAGCTATAAAAAATGTTATGAATATTATTCAAGGATATTTTCTAGTAAGGAAATTGGATATTGTTAACTTCATCTGCGTAGGCCAGGACAAACCTTGATAAGACATCAACGAGCATCTTACGTTAAGTCATACTTAAGTTATTAAATAAACAAATTGTTTAATTTAAATCCTTCAAAGTTATTTATTTTATAAAATAATTAGTAACTCTTACTAATCCATACGCTAAACTGTGTAATTTTCTAAAAGAGTAGTGTGAAGAGAACTAAAGAGACCTTCCCCATTTGAGAAAATAAATATCTGTCTGTTTTGATTATATTTTAGCAGCATTCTTTGCCTTCCAAAAAATTCCATTGAGTATAAAAACCATAAGTTTCCAAGCTAACCTAAAATAGGTGCTACACCAATATTCATGTTGTAGCTTAATTTATTAAAACGAATATTAAACGAGTCTAAATTTCTGATACACACACATATAGAATTTATAGCTATATACATATGTGTATACTTCTCAGTCACTAATAAGGCGAAGACAATCTGTTCTAAGTTTCTAAGCTAACGTATTAAAATCAAGCGCTACACTAATAATCATGTTGTATCGTAATATTTTTAATTTATTAAAACGAATATTAAACAACAATGAGTCCACACTTCTAATACACACACACACATAACTATATAAATTTGTATATAGTTCTGTCTGTATTAAGGGAAAGACAATCTGTTTTTGGGTTCTATTTGCTTAAAACTTTATAATTTGTTTTTTATTAGGCAAGCAAAGTTGTTGACACAAGTATATCGTAGAAACTAAATCGATACCTATAATATTTTAATTCCCCATACAAATATTTACCAAGTGGATTTGCTGTAGTGAAAATTTTATGAACAACGTTCATTCACGCACACATTTTTAATTGGATCACATAGTACGTATAATTTCCATTTCCTGAATTCGCAAAAATATACGAAAAATATAAGATTTCAAATTCCGGGTAAGTATTTTAAAACTTAAACTTGTTATACTTAAATTGTTATAGTTTGTGAACAGCTTATGATTAATTAATTATAATTATCAAAAAACTGTTCATGACCACCTAAACGGATGTTCTCTAGACATAGATGTGTCTATGCCGACGTTAAGTCAGAGGCTTAAGCGTGGAGGCGTAACTAATAAATTAATTTTAGCATAAATATATTATGTTAACTATTTCACTAACAGATAAGCAACCGTTTGTTAATTATATATATAGTTTATAGCGATCGAACCGCCGACAAGTAGCATTCCAACGATAATTCACTATTCAAGCATCAGAGCATGCATTTTATCACCGAAAAAGATAATAAATTGGTTTATCAAATTTTTATCAATGCGCTAATTAAGTCTCAACTATTATGCATATGCTCAAGGGTAAAGTCTGCGTCCGGGCATATTATGCTCTGGCGACTTTTCGGCGTCTGTGTGCGTGAATAGACTGCGATATATGACCTAGGTGCCTATTGTGAGCTAAGTGCACGTGTGTTGATATGTTACCTTTGTGTGCGTAGGCGCCACGGCCGCTGTCGACTTTTTCGATTGCAGATAGTTGCCATGCCCGAAATATTATTAACGCGAGTTTCGCGTCAATGCTACGCACTCTGCACTCCGCCACTAAAATATTTCTTGTACACGATCAATTTTAAATTCACATGCGATATAATACGAAAAGATATTAGTTTGTATGTATGTGTTTTTCTATTTTAATTTTATGATTTGAGCTACTTTTGTATTAAAATATATATAGAGAACAAAGAAAATTAAACACGTTGTTAATTAACAAATTTAAAATATATATTTTGTTTTGTGTCTATTTTTAATTACGTTACGGTAAAATATTTTAGAATACATATTGTGTTGATAGATTTCACTCAGTTGAAAACTAAGCCCGACGAAATAATATAAAATTTAAGATATTCGAAACTATCCACAAGATTCAAAACTAGTCCATAAATGCTAATAAGTCCAATGAAAAGTAAAGTTCCACTTCGTGGGACAGGAAATGGGTGAATCAAAACAAATATGTACATTATAATATTGTTGACGGAGTACTAACCGTTTATTATTAAACAAATCCACCAAATTTTAGTATAATACACTCAACCAAAAGTTTTAGGTCAGTTCCTAGACAAACAGTAACGCTTTGTTTCATATTGTCTATGAAAACGGTAGACAAAATGACGAAACATATAAGGCGAGACTTCTCCCACAAGTTAAGCTATCTCGGCGAATGCAAAATACTATGTTTTTCTATAGTCAAAATTCCTAACTATGCAACGAATAAACATAATACAACAACGACTCGTAGCAACAACGTCCGATATCTTGAATATTGGTACTGAACATTGCCGTATTTCTATAAAAAAATACGTGGCTATAAGGCCTATTTAAAAATATATGTACTTAAGAAATCGTTTTGCTTTATATCTTTTAGTGATAACAGATAGGTTTAACTAGATAACCTTGAATGCAAGGTTATTTTAAGGATATTCATATGCAATCTACGAATTTTTTATCACTTAAATGCAAATAGTATGGGTTTACAGAAATTGAAGAATTATGTCTTCATATTATAGAGGTTACTTTTGAAGATGTCGTTTTAAAAATCGTATGTGCAATGCAATTGAACTAACTCACATTTATACAATATATTACTAACTATAAATTATTAATTAATTTAACTTGACGCCAAGAAGAATAGAATAGAAGCGTTTGTTTTTTTTTAAATTAACTTCCATTAGTACGAAATCAATACTATGTTATGTATGCTAAAGCGAAAAGCATACGTACACATTATTCTTATATATTTATCACATGCAATAATACAAAATGAAGCTAATATTATAAATAATAAAGTAGGATAACGGGTCGCAACTGGCATCTCTTCTAGTAAGGAAAAATAACCAAAAACCTATAATTGTGCAAGCGAAAAAATATCATTCCTGATAAGGATTTGGCGCTCTTTTACGATAAAATTGTTTCAAGATGAGTATTAGATATATATGAAACACAGAATTTTAGTTCCTTATTGATTACAGATAAAACATACGTATTAGATATTAAAATATATGTCTCAAAGACATTTAAATCAGTATAACGTGAGGTAGGTCAGTTAGAAAACAAAAATAATTCTTATCGTACACCAAAAGATAACAATGTATTTCGATAAAATGATAGGCAGCTAGCGGATTTCCATAAATAATAATATGAATATATATATCCAAAGTTTTACTCAAATTCGTTTTAAAATCAAATTTGAAGTTACTTCTAATCATAATAAAAATGAGACTAAATTGTCTTTGTAAGCTGGATTGGAAAACTATGTACAAATTTCTATAAAATAAAGAAAAGAACATCTGCTGAAGGAAGACCGGAATTTAATTTCCAGTATTGCTTAGAAATGCAAATATAATTTGATAATTTAATATATAATATTTCTACAACAACGCCTAAAATCATATTCTATAATGTAAACAAAAACATAAGTCTGCACGTGCTATATTCAAAATACGGTGATATAATATAATACTGTATCTTATGTTACTTCTATACCAAAATCCATCAAAAGCAGTTAAGCGTGTTAATAGCTAAATTTCAAACTTTGATATTTTAGTTAAGATATGTGGCAATATGTCTAGATTTTACTTATGACACATAATATTAATTAATGGCATTATGCCTTAATTGTGAATTATAGTTTATTTTTTCCAATTAAGGTAAACTGTTTATAGCATCAAACTTATGCATTTTAATCTTACAGATATATCTTGAGATGGGAATATTAGAAAATAAACGTTACCAAAGTTTATCAAAATTAAAATCAACTGGAGAACTATCGCTCCTACATTATTGAGTTCTATTTAATATTAATACAGATTACGTCTACTGCCACATACCTTATATCGTGAATTATGGTGTATCAATAAAACAAAATTCAACGCACGCTACGGTTTTCCGTATGAGTCATCGGTGCTTTCCCTCGTTTTTCGGACGTACCTAGAATTAAGCGTGCGGACTGCGCGTACGGCTGAAGGGTTGCGGCGGGCGGCTTTGGGCACGGGCGGCGCACAACACTCACATTCAAATATTAGTCTAACCTTGCGAATCGCTGCACTCCGGGTTCCATCCGACGGTGTCGATATGACGGGATGAGCTCGCTTCAGATGCACCGATAACACTTATGAGTTCGAGGTTCTCGAGCCGACGGCGAGCGCATGGGCGCCGCCACCGGCGTGTGGTCGCGAGGCTGCGGCGCTCGGCCGCGCTACATGTCACGGGGAGCGAGCGCGCTCTTCGCGCCTTGGTCACCGACTCGCAGTGGCGTCGCCGTCCTACTGTCTGGCCGCGGACGGCGGCGGCGCGCGTTGCACCGCCCCGCTGCACTCCGCCTGCCCCCTGCCGTTGCCCCCCCCTCCCACACCCGCCCCGCCCCGAACAATTTTCCGCATCGGGCGGGAAAAATCGATTGTGCAGCGAGCCCCGAATAATTTCGGCAAGACGCACGGCGCCCTTGCATCCTCACCGTCGCGGCCGGAGCGGCTTGCAGCGAGGCCGGTGAGGCGGTCCGGCGCAACTTGATATCGCAACCGCTATACTCTTTGACATTTTCAATAAGCAACCATGCGTTTACTATACAAAAGTTCTTTATAATCTTAAACTATAGAATGATTAAATACGTACCGATCTTAAATGTTGATACTGGACTTAGAAAATCATTTATATGAAAATTTTAAAATGAATATGTATTTTAAAATTCATGTTTGAACTAAATATTATCTGAACTGCCAATACCTAGTTTTACTCATCACGTAGGCACTAGGGATTCCATTTAGTCTTAATCAGCAAGCTAATTTAAAATAATAGGAATGATGACAAATTATTTACACAGTTAACTACATATTTCATATTAAAAGTTTAAATAACTGTTGACAAATACTTTTTAGTTACTTTTTAAATTAAAAACGGTTATTTTGCTTTTAGATACATTACTTTCAGCCATCTTACAATTAAAACGAATGAAATTATAAATGTGTTAAAGAATATTTTCAAGCATAATATGCATATGACCCAAAAATTAATTAGTGTCGAAAAACCTAGTACGCGCAATGTGCGAACACTATATTGATTCTTACAACTAATAACAGCAAATTGTGATTCTGAGAAATGTATAATATCTGACAGTTGGCCGGTGTTGAGTTTCCCATTTATAGGTAACACAATTTTTTGATGCTTTTAAAAACATACATTTATTTCAAATTATTTGAATTACAGGTGTTTACAACTCCATATTTTAATATATTAATAACTAGCGGTCTGTCCTGGCTTTGTACTGCTGGAAATGTTTTTTTTTTTATATAGTTTGGTATTTAAATCGAACAAGTAGTTTTTCAGTTTATTAGTAGTGCTTTATAATATTAGTAAATATTCTACCTGAGATCTATGGTTCGCAAATATCATTTGTTTATCCTTTATAGTCAAGTAAGTTATCAGCCTTCTATGTCTGATAGACATCTTCATTTCTAAGTCTAAGGGACCAAATCCAATCGTTGATCAGAGAGTCAGGAGTTTACCTGACAAAGTCATCTATACATCTATAATTTAGTTATCTGCTGCATTGTTTTAACACCATGCGCCTATTTTATTTTAGTATAGTAGTTTTTTTTATTCTAGGTACATGGTCTTCACATATACTTATCAAATCAATGTATACAAAATATTGTAAAAACTATTTTAAAAGAATAAGTATGGAGTTTCTTGCCCATTCTTCTCCATATGAAACCTTTTGGAAGGGGCAACTAGTCATTTTTTTTTAAATATTTTATTTTTGACTTGCAAAAGTGCTTTTTTCGATAGGCCTAATTGAAATAAATGATTTGACTTTGACACCTTAAAGTCGTTCTTTGTTAGTTTTTTCTAGGAAGTCACCAGAGGGTGAGATTTTAGCAAGCAGCGAAGGAATTTTTGTAAAAAATGATATGTTAGGCGCATACAATGCTAGACATAGAATATAAGTATCCAAAAATATATAAAAAACCGTTTAAAGATAAGAAAAATTAGTTTTTAAATAGAGTAAAAATTATCAGTCTCAAACTTAATAAAATACTCCCAGACATTGCAATGCGAGTGATAGACGAACGCGGTCATAAACCTTTTAGGGCTTTGTCCTCCAGGGTTCAAAATACTAATACGTAAGTTCAAATACATCTATCCTTTCTAGTACTTCTACAGCCTACAAAGTTTAAAGTTATATTTGTATACCACAAGCCTTACTAACGTAACTTAAATTTATTTAGTGTTATACGATTATTTCCCTGGAGATTTGTACTATGTCTAGCATCAAGATAGGAGCTAATCTACGTTTCTCGAAAATGCGAGATGTCTGATGGGTTAGAAGTTAGTGCGGCGTGCTTCGGAAGACAAGTGAAGCCTCTTTCTGGGAGGTTAAAAATATCTTCCACCGGCGATCCGATAGCGTAATATAAAATTGTATGTAAATATAATTATTACACAATTAGTCATATGATTTTGAATAGTGTTAGTGGATCACGCTTGTTGCTGAGAATTTTTAGCTAAAGCCTAAGGGTCGAGAAATGGCATGTTATTTATAAAAATATGTGAAAATATCAAATTTAGACGAAGCTAAAACTTTAATCAAGCACACTTTAAGGCGATTTTTAGTTTCCATCTGAATTTACTTTGTAAAAGTCAACAAGAAACGCGGTAATTTATACTACTTACTGTTATAATATTACAATTTAACTTTTACTAGGTGACATTGCATGAAATTAAGTATAACCATCAATTGTTTGAAAAATTCATTCGATAAATTTATTTCAGTAACAGTTTGGATACCTTGATTTCAATAATACTTCTGTTGATGCTAAATACTAAGTTTATTTACCAAAGAGAATTGAAGTGTTCAGGACATATGTACATGCAAATCACAATATTTTGAATAAATATACAAAACCTACTAAAACTAGATATTTATAAATATATAAAAAAGTTTTTTTAAGATATGTCGAATGTTTTTTTATGTTATTATTTTTAAATAAAATATAACATATACATTATACACCCATTTTCATAAACTACACAATTAACTCCTCTTTGTTATTCATAATTGATGTCATATTCCTCTGAATGCATATAATATGGAAAGCGGAAAGTAGAGCAAAGGGTCTTCCGAACTTCGGAGGGGTGCGATCTATGTCTAATGCTATGTATGTATATTACTGTCATTGAATTACAACTATCTTTGTTTTTGAGTGTTTTGTTTATTCTATTTTAATAAGTAACCGTAAATGGAACAGCCCTTTCTGTCTAGTATTGATTATAAAAGGTGTGTTATTCGAACAGAAACAACTGGCACGAATTGAAACATTATGTTTGCCTTAAAAATTCAAACTTCTGAGGAAAGCTCATCAAATTGCAATCTTCTGTTGTTTCTTAATTAATTTTTAAAACATCAAAATCCATCTTAAACGAAGTTTAAACGCAATTTCTGAATTCAAAACTAAATTCATTAATATCAGTACTAAACAATATGAACTCTATAACACGTATCAGCTTTCTCCCGTTTATTTATTCAAATGTAAAACGAAATTAATGACATAATTAAACCCCGTTTAAAAATTTATTTTTTGTTTTATAATTCCAAAGACAAATTACAGACTTCTTTGTATTCGCAAAATGTTTTAATCGAAACTGACATTTCGTACCGCCACAGCTAATAGTCTTTTATCGATTTTTTTTCAGTGTGACGTGAGATCATTTTAGAATGGTTAATTGGTGGAATAACTTAGGCACAACGAGAACATTCTGGATTCCTTATAATAAGCGTAGTTAAGAAATAATGTTATGAATCATTAAATGTTATAATTTCAAGTAGTTTCAATAGTCAATTAATGTAAACAATTAATAATTAATTAACAATGTAATCGAAGTTGTAGTTCAAGTATTTTAGTAAAAGATTGGTGACTTCATTTCATATAGGAACAAAATGTGTGTAAGAGCGTTAAGTTAGTAATAGGTCGTATTTTTGAACTCCTTTGTGGACTGAACTTTTTTTCATGTGCGTAATTAACACAATTATACTGAAGAAGAACATTGTGAGAAATCTTACAAATCTTAGACCGAAAACTTATCTGTGTCAGGCTCGGAAGGCAAACCCAATAAAGAAATAAACTGACGCTTAATTGTGTCTGCCCCATGTGCCATTTTCGGGATTACTCACGGTATTTGTAAAAGTATAGTTTGAGTACGTGTCGCATACGCAATCGTTGTCCACACACACAATTTCAAAGTGCATCAACAGCCTTATTATTAGCTCTAAATTTTATATCAATCGAAACTGTTTAGGCGTCGTTTTTACATGCCCCGCGAAGGCAGTGGGTGGCATTTCGTTCGCAAACTCAGCACCTCGCTTCCGAGAAGAGAATTTAGTTTATAAACCTTTGTAATGTTTATAACTTGTGCAATCTATTCTCGTTATTTTACACGCTTTATATTAGCTTCACCTGTATGTATGTATGTAACCGAATCCTTCGGACTCGATTTTGACCCACTTTTAACGGACAGATTTAATTCAAACTTTGCGCACCTGTCAAAGATCGATGACAATGCAATAATCCGAAAAAAAAATTGAAAAAAATAAAAAAAAATAAACTAAAAAATAAAAAATTTATAATAGTTAAAAAAAACTAAAAAACACGCTTTTAAAGCACATCAAACTAAAAAGTGAAAAATAATTCCTAATATAGGCTGAAAATGGTAATGAACAAAAAATACTGGTATTATTGTGAAAAAGCGTGGGGCGCTCTGTGCCATATTTTTCGTCTATCGAGCAACCCAATAAACTATTATTTATTTGCTACTGATATTCGTAACAAGGTTGTATTTGTAATAGATTTTTGAGAATTAGAAGAGCCTCATTTACTGGAATACTTTGAAATGAAATATGTCAATGTAGATAATTTGAAGACTTACAAACCAATTCGACTTTCAGTTATTGCATTGTTTTTTAGTCATCAATAATATAAATAAGAGCAGAGCTTGCCTACTGGCTAGGTACCCGACGTTACACCCTAAGGTCGTGCGTTTGAATCCCGGCTATATACCATCGGCTATTTTCTATTGACATCAATAAAAATTTAGTTAAAAACGTAAGACGCATGACGACGGCGTCTGTCTGGAAGAGTCCTTCTCTTGTCCTTGCCTATAAATAAAATCAAGAAACCGATACAGCCATTTGAGGTTAAGAAGATTGTAGTGCCAATGTTTTATATACAGCGATATTCAAGTTAATACCTTCGAAACAGCTTCAAAATCAGAATACATGGCCTATTAAAAAGTGAAAACAAATTTTATTATCTATGTAAAAAGACGTATAAAATATTATTGATATTGTTCTAATTATGACAATATACCAAGGTCCCTTCATAAACAAGACAAGACTCCAATAGCTATTTATATTAATGTTCTGTTCGTATGACTCTCGTTCTTTCGACTCTTTGTAAACAAATTAATGCAACTATACCTTAACTATTGGAGAAGTTTATGAATAAAGTCTAAGACAA